GGAGACCCACGACGGCCTCCTGTACCGGAGATGGCGGGCCCCCGGGCAGGGCAGAGATCTCCTGCAGCTGTTGGTGCCTCGGTCGTTGCGGTCGCAGGTGCTCGAGCTCGTCCACGGCTCGGTGGGGGCCGGCCACTATGGGAATGCCAAAACTCTCCGCCGTCTCAGAGGACGGTTCTACTGGCCTGGCTGTCGACGGGATGTGGAGCTTCATGTGCACTGTTGTGACACCTGCACGGCAGAGAAAGGCCCAACTCAGCGCTCCACTGCCCCTCTTCAACAGTACCTGGTGGGGGCCCCGATGGAGCGAGTGGGTGTGGACGTCCTAGGGCCTTTCCCCGTTACGGAGTCAGGGAACCGGTACGTGTTGGTGGTCATGGATTATTTCACAAAGTGGCCGGAGGCCTACGCTGTGCCGGACCAGAGTGCGTCGACGACGGCGGAGAAGCTGGTGGAGATGTTCACCCGGTTTGGGGTCCCGGCCGAGCTCCACAGTGACCAGGGGCGTAACTTCGAATCGAAGGTCTTCAAGGAGATCTGTCAGCGGCTGGGGGTGGAAAAGACGAGAACCACACCACTCCACCCGCAAAGCGACGGCTTGGTCGAACGCTTTAACCGTACGCTGGCCACCCAGCTCGCCATTCTCACCGGTTGCCACCAGCGAGATTGGGACCGACATCTGCCCCTGGTCCTTTGGTCGTATCGGACTGCGGTTCAGGAGTCCAGCCAGTGCACACCTGCCGCTTTGATGTTTGGGCGGGAACTCCGTACACCCGTGGATCTGGTGTTTGGGTCCCCCCCCGAGCCAGAGATTGACGGCGGGCCAGAGATGGACTACTACAGGAGGCTAAGGGAGCGGCTGCGGGTGGCTCATGACTACACCCGCCAGGCCCAGGCCAGCGCCGGAGTGCGACAGAAAAGAGCCTACGACACTAAGTGCCGGGGGAGGGGTTTCGCGCCTGGCGACAGGGTTTGGGTGTACTGCCCGGTTCGCAAGAGAGGAGTGTCCCCCAAACTCTGCAGTCACTGGCAAGGGCCGGCGGAGGTCGTGGAGCGGCTAACAGAAGTGGTGTACCGTGTTCGCATGCCGGGCCCGGGGCGCCTGGTGGTGTTGCACCAGGACAGACTCTCGCCGTATCGACCGCTCGCTCAGGCTGAGACCGGGGCAGGGGATGCTGGCAGCACCCCATGTTCTGACCCGAGTGACTTTTCCCCCGCCTGTCGAGACCGGCCGGTGCGCCAGAAGAAGGCACCTGGACGGTTGCAGGACTTTGTGTGGGGTAATGGGGTTGTCGGGGACGACTGACCCCTTAGGTGGGGGCTGTGTAGCGGGCCAGGGCTGTTCGGGGTTTGTTCTGTTATTGCAGTTATGTGTTTGTTGTCATGTTGCTATGGTGACGGGTGACGCGCTCTCTCGGCGACTGTTTTTTCCGGTGAGAGCGCGCCTTTTTGTTGTTGTTGCTGTGTCCGCGCTGAGGTGTGTAGATTAAACGGGTGCTCCCAAAGAAACCTCTGTCTCCTCCGTGACTGAGCTTGCCACAATATTATACTGGAACCAACCGGTAGGAGGCGGCTTGGGGTGAAACTTGTGGTTAATACTCAGGTTGATTTTCCAATCTGAAGAACTAAAGAATCAGCCTGAAGACACAAACTCCTCCGACCCCTACTTTTCTTCCTACACCGACAAGCATTGGGCCCTATAACGCTTCGTGATCATTTACACGGAAAGGTTAGGTGTAAAACCACTTTAGTTCCCTGACCAGTGAGTGGTAAATTAGCCTGTTAGCTAAACCACGGCCTGGGGGGTGACCCCGATAAACTCACCGAGTTCCGCTGGGCAGGCACGATCCGTCTCAGAACAAATCTGGCTCTATCCGTTGGTTTCCAGCTCTTTAACTCCTGATTGATTCTGAATCTGAAGAAAGTTTTGAGTGCAGAATAATGGAGTAGAATAATGGCGATCTCCTTCTTGTCACTTTTTGGCAGACCAGCCGTGGGGTTTGGAGCCTGCTGCCATCTAGCGGCAAACATGAGTCACTACACCTAGGACCAGCGACTAGGTTGCCCCACCAAGAAAAACCTAATGAAAAAATTATTTGTTTGTATTTTCTATTCCTTCTAGTGAATAATGATCACAATAAATATATTTTTTATACACACTTCCTAGTTTTTTAATTACTACCCTCTACCAAACGGTTGAGATGTGTCTCTATGGTAAAAGTAAATAAAGTAAAATAGACATAACAACTAGGGAAAAAAAAGTCAGCATTATACTCATTTTGAAATAAAAATAACTACTCAAAAATTTTACCCACTTTATTTTGGTAGTAAGACACCAAACAGTTAGATTCCATTTCAAATTTGGAAGTTATTCTAACAAAGTGTAAAAAAAAGATACACAAATAATGATCAGAAAGATTTTATACAAGTACTGTAAAAGATGCTCAGAACATGCAAGTTTACTTCTGACCTTACATTGTAGTGTTGAAACAGCATAAACATTTTTTATTTTCCATAAAATTCCAAAAGTATCCTATTCACCGTTTCCACTTTGCACTGGAAATTAGAGAACACACTGAATTTTTTCTGGTTCTTTTCTTTTCTCATTTATGATGCAACTGCACCAATACCTCCTGATCATTAGAACCTCTGGTGGTACACTGCAAAGCATTCCTGATTTGCATTCAAGCTCAGAAAAACATTGCATTTCTGACATTTCCATCTTGACACACCCTTTGGACAATAACTGCATCGGACTCGCTTGTCACAGTGAAGTGGCCAATGCCCACAGCGGTCGTATCGCACATCTGGTTGTGGTTGTGAGGGTTTTGTGATGTGGCGTTTCTTCGATGGGGGTGGAGAGCTGGATGATGGTCGGCCAACTTTGCAGGGTTTCCCTTACATAGGCGTAGCCGTGGCGGGTCGCCACGGCTGAAATCCCACCGCCACGCCTACAAGATCCCAAGTTTTTTTGTTTTTGTTGGCGCTGTTTCTCGAAACAGCGGGAACTACTATGTTGTTGCTTGTGGTCACAGCCGGCGGGCAGCAAGGAGCAGGCAGGGCAAGGTGAAGTTACAGCATAAGTTACTGAGTTTAAAATTAGAAAGGTAGCAGTGGATATAATGCCTTTTGGTTTACATGTTTCAATAGCATTAAGATAAACGAGTGTTGACGATCTTGACAGGTTTTCCTCCAGTGCTTACTAGGCCACATTTTACTCCCCCCACCAGGCTAAGCATCACTTATTCATATAAAATTTATTTTTTCATGTCTGACTTTAACCGCATCTAATACTGTATTACGGCGTGAGCGCAACAGCGACAACTTAAGATCGATGCGTGAGCAGCCTGAGAGGTTGGGTGCTTTCATCTGAACCCTTAAAACCTCCAGCAGGCTACGTTGCACTATTGACGTGTTAGTGCGCGGCGCTAACAACTTAGCGACGTGACATGTCTCGGAGAAAGCGTAAAAACACGTTGGACGCTTCTTCTGAAGTGGGAAAATAACACCGCTTCTTAAGCAGAGCACGACGTCGCCTCTGCCGACTGCATGTACAGTCTATGGCCGAGCCGGACTGAGCTCGATAACATTGACCCAGCACAGCCACTAGGACGTTGGAGCTGCCCGTGACTGTCTGATAGAAAACCAGCAGGTTTCATCAGACTCGTAAAGTTTCTTGTTTTTGCTGGGGACCCCCTGTATTTTACCGCTCCCTCCTGCAGTCTTCCCCTATAAACATTTAAAATGATTCTGTAAACTCCGTGTATCAATAGAAACAATCTCTGTCTCTGCCAGCTGCAGTAAATGTAGTCTCCAAATAATAAATAAGAGGTGCATTCATCTGTGTATGTCCTTTGATCCGCATTAGTGATATTCTCAGCACCAGAACAGTGAAGCAAAGAAAGATTCCCGAGTTTGTTAGTAATTTTATTTATTAGGTGCATCTATAACCTGTTCTATTTTTCTCTGAAACGAGATCAAATCAGTGCTTCTATGGGTTGTCTCCTCTCTTGCACTAGAAAATTTTACTTTATTTAGAGACGTGTCATATCCTGGTACAGGGCTGTGCAGTGGCGCAGTGGTTAGAGCTGTTGCCTTGCAGCAAGAAGGTCTTGGGTTCACTCCCCAGCTTGGGATCTTTCTGCATGGAGTTTGCATGTTCTCCCTGTGCATGTGTGAGTTCTCTCTGGGTACTCCGGCTTCTTCCCACAGTCCAAAAACATGATTGTTAGGTTAATTGGTCTGTATAAAATGTCTGTGTGTGTGTGTGTGTGATCGTTTGTCTTGTGTGTCTCTGTGTTGCCCTGCGATGGACTGGCTCTCTGTCCAGTGTGTACCCCGCCTGATTGCCCATTGACCGCTGGAGATAGGCACCAGCCCCCCCGCAACCCTACGTGGGACAAAGCGGTTTCAGACAATGGATGGATGGATAAATTATCCTGGTACACAATAACATCAATGCAATTCTCCGTGTGTGTTCAATATTTGTGCAATACCAGATTAACATTGTATGTCTGTGTCCCGTACAGTATGATGCATAGTTCTGGAACCCAAGTTTTTTCTTTTTGTTTGTGGTTTTTTGCAGTTGAAGGTTACATTAGTAGATTACTCCTTATGCACCTGTTATTTTTCTTCAAAGTACTTTCATAAGTGTCTGTGCTGCTGTAACAAGTGAATTTTTCCACTGACATCAATAGTCTGTTCTATTTTTTGCATCACTGGATAGTAACGAGAAAATTCACTTATGTCTAAAATATTTAATAAAAATACAGATTTATTGTCTTTGAAAATTTTTGGTGAACACGTTCAGAAAGCAGAAAAGCCAAAAGGACAGATGAGATGAATGTAAATAAGTTAAAGTTTGGCCTTTTTAACATAAATTCGTGTGAATTTAAAAACCTTTTTGCTCACTGATAACAAAGAGTTTCTCTGTAACAGGAGAACAGCATCAGTCAGCTGGCTGAGCATTCATCACTATAAAACAGGTCAAGAAAAACGTATTGAACGTGAAAAAAATCACATATTTTATTCGTAATAATTTATGCACGGAAGTATTTTTCATTACAAAAAGGCATTTTTAAACACAAACATTTGTTCACACATACAGAACAGCTCTTACTTTTATTTCTCTTTTTACTTTAACACTTCAACAAACATTTAAAATGTGCAAAAGAACCAGAAAGTTCTGTTCAGGTTGTAAAACGGATGAGACCAGGAGGCGGTCCAGCTGGGAGCTGGGTTTTGGACTCTACTGGTCTCGGGTCCGGTTCAGGTCTTTGGGCTTTTAGACTCCTGTCTCAGGTTTGGTTCTGGTACCAGCTGCTCAGGTGGGACAATCGGCCGCTACCACCAGAGAGCCGGCTGACGTGTGAGTATTCATCAGCTGAAAGCAGATCTCAGAGCACATGAGATCTCTCCTTAAAGAGGGTTAACACAACAAACTAGTAGGTTAAACCAAACAGAGGTTAGTTAAACTCGACTACCTGTTTATAAAAAACCTTAAACTGAAACCAACATTTGTTAAAAAGCAACCTGATGGAACCGAACAGCCTCTTCTGAACTCAACTGACTGAGTTCACTGACCGGGTCACCACTGAGGAAGCGGTTAGTGTGTCAGGCGCTAGCTAGGCTAGTCGTTCATAAATAGTGTGTGTAAACAACGAGCTGGAGGCATCAGCCCGTCAGAAACAACGCTGCCTCGTGTGTCTGGACCAGACCCCGTCCGGTTCTCTCTGAGGGCGTTTTCTGGGTTTTAACCTGGTTTGAATGATGTCCCAGCATGCCTCAGTAACCATAGTAAATAGGAGGTCAGGACCGCCTGTGTACCCGATGGCTGTGCTTAGCGTCTCCGTGGTGATGGATCCAAACATTCACCCTCGGTCTCTGATTGGCTGCTTCTGTTCTGTCAGTGGTTCGCAGGACTCTGCCATGTTCCTTCCCATGATCCTCTTCTGTGCTGAACTTGCACAGGTGAATGTACCTCAGACCAGCGAGAGGATCCCATCAGGGGTCAGGAAGGTCGGACGTATCCACGGTGACCTGCCCATCACAGAAATAATCAATCAGCTGTTTAACAGACAGGTCCACTATACAGCTGTGTGTGTGTGTGTGTGTGTGTGTGTGTGTGTGTTTGTGTGTGTGTGTGTTGACCTTGATGAAGATGGTATCATCCTTGATGTAGCTGCCTGTGTCCAGGACGCTCTGAGACACGAAAAGGGGACAGCCAGAGGCGATGTTCATCTCAGCTAAGGGTCGCCTGAAGCTGCTGCTGTTTGGATCTGGTTTGAAGGCATCACCCAGGTGTTTCCTAGAGGGACCCTGGTCCATCAGCATCAGGGTCACCTGGTATAAACACACACAGGTAGGTCAGGTTTACTCCTTAAATCCTGGATAAAGGCAGTCGGTGTGCATTAGAAACCTACATTTATCGAATCTCCAAAAATTAGTAAATGTTTATTTTGCAGATATTTTCTTCTGATCTAAAGTTTTCAGAGCTTATTTGTGTTATGACATCACAAACAGCTACAACAGGAAACCAGCTGGTTCTGTAATCAGCTGCTCAGTTATGGAAAACACCTAATCATTTATGAAACACACTTATTTATTTCTGCTTTTCAGAATAAAAGACCAATAAAACTGTGGTGTAGTTCGCCATAATAAGAGACAGACCTATGTTCTTTTAAAAAGTTAACATTCTCATAAACTTGGATATTTCTAATGAATTAATCATCTTTAATCACCAACAGGATTTTTAAATTTAAATAACAAAGAAGTATTTTGCTTTGTGTCATATGCTGTGCTGTCTTTAGGCCTTTAGGACGCACGAGTGTAGTCTTAAGGTAGGGAGGACGCGCTCGTCCTTTAGCACAGACACAGAGAGGAATGGGACCAAATCATCTGGCTTTGTTCGATTGTGTCGTCTTTCGAATTATTTTGAGTTAAAAATTAAGTAACAATAAGATTAAAAACACAGACATGAACTTTTTTAAACGTTTGGGACATTTCATTAAAATAATCTTTATACTAGCTAAGAATGAAAAATAAATATCTTAACTCATCCACATTTTGGACAATAATGAAATCGAGTCTGATTGCACACAGACAACAAACTCAGGAAACTCCTAATATTTAATGAAGTCACACCTGATGACATCACCAGCAAACATCTTGTTCTGAGTGTCTTCAGAAATTTCAGGTTTTTCATTAAATTAAAATCAAAGCAGAAGAGTCCCTTAGACGAGACCCTGTGGAACGCCATTTTAACTTTCTACCACTGCTTCTTATTTATCTAATAAACAATTGCAGGTTTTGTGGTTAAATTACCAAGTTGAGGTAATTAAGCATGTCTGAGATTATGACTCTACCTTCTGTTTAAAAGGCCAGGGCAGCAGGGCGTCATACTCCCCCCTCATCACCACGAAGAACAGGGACAGGTGCGTCCCCTTCCCCATTCCGTCTCCGTTTAAATAAACTCGAGCGCACATCTTGTACCCAAAGTATCCGGTGTAGAACGGCTGCGAGTACAGCGACAGCGTCTTGCCCGCCACCGCTTCCTGTTTCCTTCTCTTGTAATCTCGGATCTTCCAGATTAGAGTCCCATTGTAGCTCGATGTCTCCAGAACCTGAAAACGCAGGTCCATGTCAGCCAACCGGATCTCGTGAACGCTCAGCATGTCATCGTGGCGGCTCAGCTGGGTCTCCAGGGACGCTGCAGGGAGTCAAATACTCAGCTGTGATTTCCTGATAACCAGGTTTAAGTTCTTCCACCAGTTCTCGGTTTTAACTAACCCAAAGTATGAGTTGATCCAGCTCCACACCGGCCCCCTTGCTCCAGAGCACTGAGCCTGGTTCGAACATTTTCCAGCGTTCCTCGTAGGTTCTCCATCTCTTCTCTAAGCAGACGGAGAGAACGCAGCTCCAGCTCCAGCTCCAGCAGCTTCTCTGAGTGGGAGCTCATTAGTTTCTGTAAAAACACGCAGAGGTTCGGCTGTTAGTGAGAAACGGAGGAACCGATTCGCTAAAACAAGCAGGTCGCACCGCAGGTGGATGCTGGAGAATGTGCAGGACAAATCATGGAATCACATAGTGTCAGTGTGGTGAGACCTGGTGTCCTCGTCAGGACACGTCATGCCCGCGCGTGTGTGTGTGTGTGTGTGTGTGAACGCGGCCTCGCCTACGACACACACACACCTCAGCAGCTGTCTTGCTGGGGAAGTTCTTATAAAGGATATTTTAAAGCTACAATACAAACTTTGCTAAAAATGATTTTTTCATGTCTCTTAAAACATTCTAACATAGTAACTATATTATTATTGTTTATTAAATATTTAAACAAAATAAAAAAATAAAGACTTGGTTCTCTGTGGGGACGGGAACCCGGGGCTCTTTTTTCGCTCTCAAACGGCTCCTCTCATTTTTTGTTTTCTAAATTAATTTATCACCAGAAATTATGCAAACAGTGTAAGCTGAATTATAATCTATCCATTTTACCAAATGTTTATAATTTAAATAACTTATTTTACTCAGCATGAAGTACAAAAGCAGATTTTAAATGACAGAAACAAACTAAGTAAAACATTTATCTGCTCTAAACCATTAAAGCCACATGCTGGATATTAGGGCTGGGCAACATGGCCTAAAATCAATATCACGATATATTGAGGATTTCGCCTCGATAACGGTAAATGGACGATAACTACAGGTATGCGCAAAAACAAAAGTTGACCACTAGATGGGGCTGTCACATGTATTACATGGACTCATATTTTGGAGAGGGTGCTTGCTGCAGAACCACAAAGGCGGAGCTGCACCAGAGTCAGCCCCGCCCATCAAGCAAACTCAGCCTAGCCCACTGACTTCCGTTTTTGTTTTTCTACTTTATCGCAAACTGACCTGACCCACATGAATTACGGCTGTTACTAGTTTACATTCGTTAATGCTATGTTCTATGCTCCAATTAAACAAGATAAATATAACTTGCTACATGACAAAGTCTGAATATATCTCGAAATGAAAAGGTTTCTTTTAGCGAATATCTGCCCATAGCCGCTCCAACAAAAGTGGTATACAACAGCATGTGAGACTATTGAATGGGTTCTGGTAGTCCAGTGGTAAGACCGTCTGAATTAAGTTTTGCTTTCCCCTCAGCTGATGTTGGTTCAATTCTCGGTGGGGTCTGCAACAATCTATTTAGCCAGCTGAAACATTTAATTTGTTTATATTTTAGTTGTAATGTTCATTTTCAGCAAAATATTTATGTCTCAAAAAGTTCTTTGAATTTGGTCATTCATAAACAGCATTTTAGTTGAAACTCTGCTCACAAATGGACTCACACTGGCTAAATAAATGAATAAATAAATAAATAAACACATTAGTTATTATATGTTAAACGGTATACCAGTAAATTGTTGTAAACTGGCAAGTGTAGCTAGAAATGAAGAAAATGGGTTGTAAACTACCTAATCCTTCTGCTACTGGGAGGCGAACCTGCGCAAAACTACATGTCAACCTGACTCCATAACCACTACACCACCACATCTGATAAACATAAAGTGGCGTTACATGTAATTGTGCTATCCAGTGTGTCTTTGTAGATGGGATGTATGATTTTTCTGGCGGTGTCTCAGTAGAAGTCATTTCAGAAATAATTTGTCAGAAAATTCACAGAATATCCAGATTTGAGAACCAAGACCAGACCCGCTTCGGGGGAGGAGACCAAATTGAAGCTGAGATGGGAGGACTATGCATGAATGAGGCTAAAAATGGCTTTGGTGTGTTTCTTATGAGGAAATGACAATATAACATGATTAAAAGTTCCAAAAGTTAGATTTTTAATTATATGGAACCTTTACAAAAACTGTTCAATTCACTTCTCAACTCCGTCCTCAATCTCGCATTTTTTAGCTACAACACCCTCTTTGGTTCCAGAATGCTATCAAGTCTGACAACTGGAAGGAATTGGACTGACTCTGATGGAATGGGCGGGGCTGACTCTGGTGCAGCTCCGCCTTTGTGGTTCTGCAGCGAGCACCACTTGCATTTTGACGTGACTCAAACTGGTACAGCTTCTTAAAGGGACATGAAGTTGCCAACCCACACACATTTTTTTATTGTCAAATTTATTGACATGGGAAAAATTACCACGATAAGAGTCAGAAATTTCGATAACGATAAATTTTCGATTTAGCACCGAGCCCTACGGGATACCATGTTTTCCCTCTGCACATCCCTGTCCTGGTCTCATGCCTCCATCTTTCTGTAGCGCCGTTTGTTTTTCTTTCCGTCTCTTCTACAGATTTGTCCCCACCAGTATTCACAGGTCCCATCACGATGATGTAATAACTGTCCCAGGCATTTTGCACGTGCCACGCCCTCCCTGTCCTCACAGTGATCGGAGGTACGTGTTGTTTTGCAGATTTGCTATTGCAGCTTTAAAAAAAACGACACTTCACACACATAAATCAGACTTCGATAACACACGCGTGTCCAGTGGACGATGAAAACGTGTTATTGCTAAAGGCCGGAGGACACCATCAGCACTAGAACGCCCAATCAGAAAGGACAGCCTTTGATTGACTGACTTGGCATTGTGAAGTTTCTACAATCAGAAGAATCCTGCAGACACACTGATGCGAGGCACTGATGTTTAAAACTGAACGATTAAACCCGGTGATGTGGCGCCTTTTGGGCCTTCTCCGCCTAGCTGATAAAACTCATCATCCCACTCAGGAGCGTAGTTCGTAGGATTAGTACCTGCATGGTGGCTAGTTTCTGCTCCAGCTGCCGGTTCTTCTCACGGAGCTCTTCATTCTGGGTCTCTAGTTCAGAGAGGCGGCTGCTGAGAGCAGGAAGCACCTTGTACCGCTCCATCAGCTCCTCTTTCACATCCTCCACCTACAAACAAACATCATTCAGATAAACTCTGAACCCTGCTGTTGGAACCTAATCCCATTCCCTAACATGGCCTGCTGGGACTATCATCCCTTTGCTTCAACAATCACTGGAAAGCTGCATCACAACCCTCTGAATCATAATCTAATCTAATCCAATCTAATGATAAAGAGCCCTGAAGACTACAACCCCTTCCTGGTCTGTTTGACATGGGTACCGCTGTCGGGTTTGTTGCCATGGTTACCTTGTTCTCAAACAAGCAGTTCCTTTTGACCATCATCCGTAGATGCTCTGCTGCAAAGGTGGAGTCGTGCTGTCTGACGTCCTGGTTCAAACCCTACAACACACGAGATAAACAGCCGTACGTCCTGTATTAGAGGAGCAACAGAAGATTCAGGGCCAGACGAATCAGGAATGAAGAGGTGATGAGGAGTGACCTTGAAGGTGCAGCCGTAGTGCTGAAACAAACAGCTGACCTGAGCCTTGGGGCAGTCGTGCTGGTGGCTGGTCAGCTGGAACAGAGCAAAAAAAAACCTGCTGGTGAACAGGGTCGGTTCAGACCGGATTACCGAAGGACAGGATCTGGGGGGAAGGGAGGGGTGCAGTACCTCGCTTCGAGGCAGGGATGTGAAGGAGCAGTGGTTGGGACAGGACACCGGGAACGCTGGACACACAGTCTCCTTGTGTTTCTGAAGACAGGTTCAAACGTTAAAACTCATGATCAGGTCTCACAGAGTCTGGGATCAGGTCTCTCAGAGTCTGGGATCGGGTCTCTCAGAGTCTGGGATCGGGTCTCTCTGAGTCTACGTTCAGGTCTCTGGGATCGGGTCTCTCAGAGTCTATGATCAGGTCTCTCAGAGTCTATGATCAGGTCTCTGAGTCTATGATCAGGTCTCTGGGATCAGGTCTCTCAGAGTCTGGGATCAGGTCTCTCAGAGTCTACGATCAGGTCTCTGGGATCAGGTCTCTCAGAGTCTATGATCAGGTCTCTGGAATCAGGTCTCTCAGAGTCTATGATCAGGCCTCTGGGATCAGGTCTCTCAGAGTCTATGATCAGGTCTCTGGGGTCAGGTCTCTCAGAGTCTGGGATCAGGTCTCTCAGAGTCTATGATCAGGTCTCTGGGATCAGGTCTCTCAGAGTCTATGATCAGGTCTCTCAGAGTCTATGATCAGGTCTCTGGGATCAGGTCTCTCAGAGTCTATGATCAGGTCTCTGGGATCAGGTCTCTCAGAGTCTATGATCAGGTCTCTGGGATCAGGTCTCTCAGAGTCTATGATCAGGTCTCTGGGATCAGGTCTCTCAGAGTCTATGATCAGGTCTCTCAGAGTCTATGATCAGGTCTCTGGGATCAGGTCTCTCAGAGTCTATGATCAGGTCTCTCAGAGTCTATGATCAGGTCTCTGGGATCAGGTCTCTCAGAGTCTATGATCAGGTCTCTGGGATCAGGTCTCTCAGAGTCTATGATCAGGTCTCTGGGATCAGGTCTCTCAGAGTCTAGGATCAAGTCTCTCAGAGTCTAGGATCAGGTCTCAAGAGTCTATGATCAGGTCTCTAGGATCAGGTCTCAAGAGTCTATGATAAGGTCTCTGGGATCGGGTCTCTCAGAGTCTATGATCAGGTCTCTGGGATCAGGTCTCTCAGAGTCTATGATCAGGTCTCTCAGAGTCTATGATCAGGTCTCTGGGATCAGGTCTCTCAGAGTCTATGATCAGGTCTCTCAGAGTCTATGATCAGGTCTCTGGGATCAGGTCTCTCAGAGTCTATGATCAGGTCTCTGGGATCAGGTCTCTCAGAGTCTATGATCAGGTCTCTGGGATCAGGTCTCTCAGAGTCTAGGATCAAGTCTCTCAGAGTCTAGGATCAGGTCTCAAGAGTCTATGATCAGGTCTCTAGGATCAGGTCTCAAGAGTCTATGATAAGGTCTCTGGGATCGGGTCTCTCAGAGTCTTGGTAAGCAGCTCTCTCAGGGCGGCGGTTCCTACCTGCAGGTCGGTCAGAGGCATCTTGCTCATGCAGAATTCACAAGTGGACTCTCTGTGTTTACATTTCCAGGTCAGGTGATCGGGGATCTCCTTCCTCATCATTCGCTCTTTACATTTACCCAGAGGACAGGGAACCTCGAAGAACGGACAGACATTCAGGTGATCCTGAGGAGAGACAGAAGGTCACATCTATGGGTCAAACAGAACCTCAGATCCACCTGGGCAGTGGGTCTGAACCGTTTGCGCTCACAGGGATCTGCTGCAGACTCATCTGCTCCTGACAACCGTTAGCTTCGCTCCGACAGAACACCTTCAGCGCCATGATCTCCCGATGGCAGCAGACATCTTTGAAGATCTGACGTGAAAACAAACAGAGCTCAGTGACCGAGCCCTAGACGAGACGGAACAGGTTCTGGGGAACTCTGACCCACCTTGTCTTTGAACAAAGGCTCCATGTCTGCTGGACACACGGGGTTCTGAAGACTGCAGGAGACAGAAGACAGAAACGTTTCACATCACGATCAGGATCTGCTGAGGCCACAAGTGGTCGTGATCCTGTTACAGGACTCTGTTTAGGATGCATGGCTTCACCCTGGGCAACACAAGTGGGCGGAACCTAGTCTACCTGAGGATGTCGTTGATGCAGCTCTGACAGAAGCGGTGTCCACATTCAGTCTGGCGGGGCTGACACAGGACCAGCCTGCAGGCCTCGCAGCAGTATTTGGCTTCTGGCGTCTCTAAGAAGTGGTCTCTGAATCCTCCATGGAGGGGCAGGAACCCTGCAGCAGCACCAGAGCGGGACACCCGTTAGCCCGGGGACTGAGAGGCAGAAGCTGACAAGGCATTAGAGGAGGTTACCTTGTTGGGTGGAGAACTCACACAGAGTCCATGGGTTAACAGAGCGGTGGGAGGGCGGGGCGATGGCAAGGGCAGAGGACAGGGGGGGGACGAGGGAAGGCGCCGACTGCTGGAGGGGGATCTGGACTTCCCTCCCATCAGCACTTCTCCCCGATGACATGACCCGAGGAGGCTGGTGGGACAGCAGGAGTCATAACATTATGACCATTTAGAACAAAAGCTGATTAAGCTGCTAGGAAACCTCATCTGGTTATCTGCTCACTAGAGTAGAGACAGCACCCATGACCGGTGACCGCGCGCGCGCACACACACACACACACACACACACACACACACACCTCACTTCCTGTAAGAACTGAACTCTGGGAATGCTAGGGGCTTTTCCATTGACTGCATTGTTCACTCACACACACACACACACACACACACACACACACACACACACACACACACACACACACACACACACACACACACACACACACACACACACACACACACACACACACACACACACACGTTAACAAACAAAAAGGAAGAAAAAACACAGTAAAAGTGGGGATAACTGATATATTTCTATAAATAGCAGCAGCTTATTTAATAAGACCTAATAAATATAACCAGTTCTCTGAAGCCTACCATGAAACAACATTAACCTGTGGGTTTAATCCAATCACACCAGATGGGACAGAATCCTGTAATCTGTGACATGGGGGTTTGTCACTTCAAGGAAAGCAGGTGACTTAAATCGTGACTATGCAGTTTTAGAAAGAGAAACTGTCCTGGTTCCACACAGGGGTTTTCCTGCAGCCAGACCAGCTGCAGCAGCGCTCTGAACCAGAACCCCATAAGCAGGTTTTAAATGCATGAACACCGGCTGAGCGGGAACATCTCACCTCCGCAATATGAGAGTCTACAGGCGCTCTGAATAAGAAGAGGGTCTGATTCGGGTCTGTGTTTCTGTCTTCAGCGGCTCTTACTCGCAGCTTTGCTCCACATGTCTACAAAACATGCAGAAGTTTGCAGACGGAACCTGTGAGCAGCAGCATGACAGCTTACATCTGCTTAGTCGCTGAACGTCAGGCAGAGATGTTGGGAGTTTAGCTGGTCAGAGCCTGGTTCAACCCAAATTTGTTGTCTATAATAAAAAACATTTATTCTGAATATGAAATAAAATCATAAAATTAAACCAAAGATAAACGTTTGATTCCTGATGATCCTAAACACCTCTATGACGCCCCCAACACACACACACACACACACACACACACACACACACACACACACACACACACACACACACACACACACACACACACACACACACACACGTATTTATGACCGGACCAGACTGCCTGATCTGAAGAGGCTCTATGGAACAGCTAGAGCGGTAGTTGGAACCCTATAGACTCAGTCCGGTGACCACACAGCAACAGCTTTACATAATCAGTCATAATACAACTATGACGACATAATGCGTAACTGTGACGTCCTCAGACTCTTATCTTTATTCAAAAATCTAAAGCAGTGAGTGGTAAAAGCACCCATCAGCTACTACCGACCGTCACCCTCCGGTTCCCGCCGGACGGCAGCTAGACGGGTTGGGTTCGTTCACGTTTATCAGGTTATCGATCATCAGATTATTGATCCGCTCGACTCTTTGATCAGGGAGCGGATGCAAACACACGCTATACAACCATGCTAGCAGACAGTTAGCTTGGGTTTTCTGCTTCGGTCATCTCTTCTAATGGTTTAAATATTTTTGTTGATATTTTCACACATGATAGAACAAGGAGTGTAGCAGTAGCACGCTCTTCAGCGCCTCCATTGATAAAAACAGTAAAGATTCCCCTGACCTGCTGGTGTAGCAGGCTAATGTGTGTGTTGAGAGTAAAGTGAGTGTTTAATGCATGTTGACTCACATGAGTATCCTCCGCAGGCCACAGCTCGACGGATCAGCAGCTCCTCACTCAGCTCGGTACGCTCTCTGCGGATTCAAATGGTTACGTGCTGCTAACGCAGCCGTGGAGCCTCCAGGTTTTTGGCGGACTCCTCATAGTCCGGTGTCGGTCAGGAGTTCTCCGGTCTCTGTCCCCACTGAAAGTTTAGGAGAGAGAAGCCACTGAGACCTAAGTCGGGGAGCCAGCGGGGAGGACTGGGCTTATTACACTGGAAACCCCCTCCTTTACTTCCGCTCAGGAAATCCCCCAGCTGCTATGATGATTCACCGTTAGGGGGCGCCAAATCCCGCAGACTTCGGAACACTGCCAAGCCACTAGGGGGCGCGAAGGTCAGCCTAAATTCACTTTGAAGGGTTAAACTTTATTGACAAACAAGTTTTGCAGTGGAGGCTTTTGTTCATGAATGTACAATTCAATATAAAAGCTTCATTTAATCCTGAGCAGATTGTTTTAGCACTAATATCCAGAAAGCTCTGAAAACGGCTATATTATGAAACAAAGGGAACTTTGTTACATTTTTATTTATCCTAATTTTTTACAGCACAAACGAGCATTACCAGTGACTGCTCATCTTGTTAACCATTCAGTTTAGCCATTAATGCTGCTGTTGAGCCTCTGACTCAGTGATATGGTTCTATCTTTATTTTTACATTTCTTGCAGTACTAGAAAAAAAATTAATAGATTTTAGGTCCTTCCAAAAGTCAAATTAAACAATTTTTATTAAGGAATAAGACTTTTCAATTATGAGTCCTAATATTTTCAGGTGAGATGCCACAAAGTTTGATACAAACATAAAAGATGAGTTGAGAGACACGTTGTTTTCTTATGAATTTACCAGGAATTAGTCATTTACAGTGTAGTAATAAATAAACCACTACATATACAGTATAACACAATATCACAGTAATAATTACATTAACAGACTTACTTCATGTGGTCACAGTAAAAATAAATGAAATGGAAAGAAGCATTTGTTTATGTTGAGTCTTTACATATTTTTACAGGGTGAACTTGATGCAAAAGCTTTAAAAACTTCCAAGCCAAACCGATGGAACAGCGAGCTCTTATCTGTGATCCAGTTAGAACTTTCCAACCAGACGTGTCATTCCTGAGACAGTCGTGTTTCGAAAATGATCCCAATCTCACCTCAAGTACAAAAACAGACACACACGTCAACAAAGAAAAACTGGAAAGATTTCTTCCGTCTGACCCGATCCACTCCTCTTAAGGTTCTGAAGGAGTTCTGGTCCATTGTCTCTGCTCAGCCTTTCATTCTGGACTTTGGACCACTGCAGCTCTTTGACTCTGTTTTAGATCTACTGCTGTGTTTAGGATTATTGTTCTGTTGCATGACTCGGTCCGGACCAAGTTTCAGACAGAAGACCCAGAACACTCTGGTACAAACTCGAGCTCATGGTGGACTCACCTAGTCTGTTCCTGTATGATAGTGTAGCCATGGCCTTGTTATGCTACAATAACCAACAACATGGGGAATCTACTGGGGGGTTTTCCACACCGGAGGTTAGATCAGAACCTTTTAGAACCTGGGGAAGACCAGATCAGATTTCTCAGTCTCTGCTGAGTAGAATCATGTAAATAAACAGTGTGTATTTTTTATCTCATGTTGGTAAGTTGGTGTTATAATTAGTAAATATGCAGAACAACATCATGAGGGGACCTTTAACCTTATTACTGAAAAAGCAAACACAAAACTACATTTTTGGCTGATGAGGGATCGTTTTATTTGGTAGTCTTACTACCTAGAGCAGAAATAATTCTATAACATATATATTTGTTTTGAGAAACAGAAATTATATGATACACAGGAGCAACGGGGAACCAAATCTGACAGCAGTTAGAAGGTGTTTGTAAAATCAGACGGTAATCCCAGAACTCTGAGCTAAAATTTAAAATGACCCTGATTCTGGTTCTGCAACACACAACAACAGTAACTTGTTGGTCAAACCCATCAGTTACCACAGAGAAACACCTGCAAGGGTTTCCATAGCAACTGTCACCTATGAGGAGGATGTAAACCCAGTTCAGACCGTCAGAACCCACCGCAGGGCATCAGGGAGATTAATCAGGTTTCAGGTGAAATTGATGAAAACTGCCAGAGACTACAGGATCAGCACCAACTTCCTGTACAACGTTCTGCTGTTCTGAGTCCAGTGGGTCAGACTGGCTGGACCAGAAAGTGCATTTCTGAGTCTGTGATCAACCGATTAGGTTTAAATGAGATGAAAGGTTTTCCTAAACCTTTACTCCAGATTAGAAACTAAACGATTCACTGTGAAACTAAAGGAACAAACCAAACCGGAGTCCTCGTATTAGTCTGGTGTAATGTCCCTTTATTATCCACAAACATAACCACAGTGGACTCAACAGAACCCCCTCAGGTCATGGTGTTAGCTCCCAACCACGATGGCGGACGTTCTACCATTTGGCCTAAAGTCCTGAAACCATTTAGACTCGATATAAACATTAGAATATTAATAATGGAGCTTCAGTCAGTGATTTAACTAAAAAGTGGACAGAACCACCAGCCTCTCTGGAGACCTCCTACAGAACCAGAACCAAAGTCTTAACCCCATTCAAACCAGTTTAAAAGGGTTGGAAAAAGATGAAAACATTAGCATAGTTTTACACACACACACACACACACACACACACACACACACACACACACACACACACACACACACATACACACACACACACACACACACACACACACACACACACACACACACACACGCACACACACAATTTCAGGTTAAAGTGCTTCATGACAATACAAAATTAAAACCAACTTCCCTTCGTGTTTTACCAGCCCTACCACAGCCCTTTGTGCTCCTGCCCTCACAGGAAGTGACTTCATCATTCAGTGGTTTTGCTCATGACATCACACAGGTAAGTTCCTGTTTGTCCAGGAGGGAAGTTCAGTCTGTGAGACATGGCACTCCACTCCCATGGCAATCCAGACCAGAAAAACCAGCAACAGGGGTCAGATGAGCTCCCATTCATCATCGACATCATCTCCCCCAGCGGCAGGGCCACGGGGCATCTGTGGGAGGAGCTTTGTTAGCCGACGGCACAGTCCACCAATAGGAGTCACCGCCCACAGCTCTTCCTCTGGAGTGACTAAAAACAGAACACCTGAGAGGTGAGATGGGTCGCCCACAGAACAGAGTCTCAATTAAAATACTAAATAAATAAATGAAAAGACGTCAGGAAAAAACGTACCAGTGAACCAAATCACATTTCCAGGGATCTTCTTCCAGTAATCTCCGGCTGGATTTTTCTCAGAAATGCCGTAACGTCGAGCCACATCTCCGTTCACACACCGAACCCACACGGTCTGACAACTGACCACCAACTGACAAACAGCCAGCCCTTCACACACACACACACACAGACACACACACGCACACACACACCAATATCAGCAGTGGACCGGAAAAAATAAATAAACATCTGACAAATAGAAAGAGACAGTACCTGGTACATTGTCCCAGTTTGTCCCCACAGGCATCTCATCACATAGTCCTGTCCTCACAAAGACACTCCCTTTGTTGTCCAGACCCCAGAGAAGTCGATCATTAGGACTGGTCTGGATGCTGACCAGCTGCTGTCCTATTGGCTGAAAGCAGACAGACGGGTCTGGATGTGTGACAGCTGAGGAGACACGATCATCCAAAGAGTCCGGGTCCTGTTTATGTGCTTGTACCAAATTCTCTGCTTTTATATAGAAATCAAGTTAAAATTGAATCACTGCCTCATCATTATTGTTGAAGTGCTGCTGTGTTAAAGTTAAAGTGAGATGCCGTAGTTGAAGTGCTCTCCGAGCGTCTCCCCTGTGAGGAACAGAACCAGGATGGTGTTGGCCGGTTCTGACCGAGCAGCAGCCAGCCGCGGACCACACCACAGACAGGTTTGAAGGGGGGGTCATTACTTTTTCACACAGGACTGGGTTGGTTTGGACAGATTTGTTCCGTCAATCATCAGAACTGTTTATATCGTCTCTGGTAACCGTTGTCTGACACTGGTAGTTTACAGATCTGAAACAGCAACACGGCCACCAGGGTCACGTCTACGCGAGAGTCCCGCAGACTGACAGCTATCCCGCTCATCTTTGACCCCGTACCTGCACCGGAGGGTCTATATGGATCCAGGCCGGCAGCATCATACTGGTATTCAGCGGCTGGGTTCCAACTCTGAAGTAAACGAGTCCTCGACTGTCCACGGCCCAAACATTCTGACTGCCACAGCTCACGCTGACCAGACGAACACTTCCTGTAACACACACACACACACACACACACACACACACACACACACACACACACACACACACACACACACACACACACACACACACACACACACACACACACACACACACACACACACACACACACATTTTCCTAGGACTAGTTGTTAAAAGATCCCTTTCAGGTAAATGGCTGTATTTGATATAGCTCCTTCTAGAGTCCTGGAACCCCCCCAAGGCGCTTTACAACACAATCAGTCATTCACCCATTCACACACTGGTGGGGATGAGCTACAATGTAGCCACAGCTGCCCTGGGGCACACTGACAGAGGCGAGGCTGCCGAGCACTGGCGCCACCAGTCCCTCCGACCACCACCAGCAGGCAACGTGGGTTAAGTGTCTTGCCCAAGGACACAACGACAGCGACAGACTGAGCGGGGCTCGAACCTGCAACCTTCCGATTACGGGGCGAGCACTTAACTCCTGTGCCACCATCGCAGGGTGTTGCTGCTTCCATTCCAAGGCCCCTTCTGCCATGCTGTACATGTTCCACGATGTACCGGTGTCTGAGAGCAGCCTTTGCCTCTGCAACTGCTGCCGATGGCTTCCATTTCCACCCCGTTGCTAGGGTTGGGGCAGCACCTCTGACGACTGGATCCCGGGAATCTGTGAGGGACATTTCCAGTCTTGACCTGACACATTTGTACTCCTCCACCAGGCTTGATATTGGCAGGGAGATGGCTCCGTTACCATACAGGTAAGGCATCTCAGCAATCCAAGCCACTTCCTCACCTGCACATTCACTAGCCTCTCCAGCGGACTGGCATGGGATAGTGTGACCTCATAGATTGGCCACATGAGGCGTGGCAGCAGCCTAAACTCAAAGCACCATAGTTTTAGTTTCCCAGGGAGAGCTGTGTTATTGATCTTCTTCAGGCCGCTGATTGTATCCTGTCTGAGTTGTTCTACCTGCTTTGAGTCTTTGAGTTCTGCACTATACCAACGTCTAAGGCTTTTGATAGGTTTCTCCATAACAGTTGGTATTGGCTCATTGTTAACATGGAACCTCTCATTGGTCAGCTGGCCTTTGACGGAGATACTGTGGGATTTGCTGGGTTTGATCTCCATTCGTGCCCATTTGATGTTTTCCTGGACTTTATCCAACAAGCGCTGGGTGCATGCCTTTGTTGTTGTTATTGTCGTCATGTCGTCCACGTACGTCCTGATTGGAGGACTGCGCAACCCGCTCTTCAATCGTTCTCCTCCAACCACCCATCTGGATGCTCGTATGATGATCTCCATGGCCATTGTAAACGCCAGTGGAGAGATGGTGCAGCCCTCCATTATGCCTATCTCAAGGTGCTGCCAGGCAGTTGTTTTAGTCTGTACTGTCACGCAGGATTGCGGGTCCTGAAAATAGGCTTTGACCAGTCTTGTGATTCCCTCTGGAACTTGGAAGAAATTGAACGCCGTCCACAAGATCTCATGTGGCACTGACCCAAAGGCGTTAGCTAGGTCTAGAAAAACCACATGTAGGTCTTTCTTTTCCTTCTCGGCTGTCTGTATCTGATGCCAGATGATATTTGTGTGTTCCAGGCATCCAGCAAACCCACTTATTCCTGCCTTCTGCACTGAGGTGTCGACAAAGTTGTTCCTCTGCAAGAAAACTGATAGCCTCTGGGCTACAACACTGAAAAATATCTTTCCTTCCACACATAGATTATTTAAGACTCAGGATCGTTAAGATGACCAAAAACCACAGGCAGGTGTAGGCCCCCTTAAAACCTAAATAACAGTTCCTTAAAAAGGCGTTTTCTCTGTCGACATTAGTTTAATCAAATCTAAAACCACCAGCACCAAAGCAGACATTTCTTTTCGCTTTATTTTCTTGTTTGAATGAGGCTGTTTGGGCGTTTCAGCTCTAACAAGCATCAGCCCTTCCTCCTGGGAACCCTACGAGAAAAATCTTCTCACAACGTTAGAAGTCACGATGGATCCACTGCTGAAACCAAAGAGCCACGCACACATGGTGGTAAAACCCTAAACTTTTTACCAGTTTGGCAAAACCAAAACCAGTTTCGTCAGGAGGTAATCTGAAGAAAGTAATCCCTGTTATCATTACATCCAGTCTGGATTACTGTTTGGTGTCAGAAGTGAAACGGTTTAAGTGGCAGGACTGTGTGAGGGTTAGTGTTAGACGTGTGATCTTTGGTGCATTCGTGTTTAAAACTGAAACCTACCCAGCTGACTGAGGTCCAGAGGGGTCCACTGAAGACCGATTGGACAGGCAGGGGACAGGGGACGAATGCTGACTCGGCCATAAATGTCCAAACCCCACAATGCATCACGACAGGCAGACAGATGAGACAGCTCCACCTGAGTTCAACAAAAACATCAGAGGGGCTTCCCAGTAGGCCGTCAAAGTGACTGGAAACCAGTAGAAAAAGAGCAGAAACTATTTAAGTGCTTTTACCTCAGATGGTAGCGAGACAGAAGACGGACGAAGCTCTCCGTCTTGATCCCAAACGCAGAACAGATCCTTTCTGCTCTGAGCCAACCACAGGAACGTACCTGAGACACAGACGAGACTCAGAATGGCTCCTGATGTCTCCTACATGGAGCCGTTAATGTGGTCCAGGTGTGTTACCTTCTCTGTGAGGGACAGATGAAGATGTAATGAAGGTCCACCTGGTGGCTGAGACAGTTCCTCTAGGGACAACGTTCTGCCAGAATGTTCCTACAGGAACCGAACACAAAGCGACGGTGAGACTTTACGAAGCAAGACAAGACAAAACACGCTTGTTCTGGACTCTACTGACCCACAAGGCTGCTGCGGGCCAGGTGCACTTGGTTCCGCCCGGAGGCCACCCAGACCCCACTGGAATTAGCACTGACAAGGCTAGGCTGGCACTGGGAATACTGGGACAGAAAGGCTACCACCCGGTCTACCGGGGCCCTGGTTACCGTGGCAACTGTTTGTGTGGCCTGCAGCAGAGTGTGAAAAAAACTGCCCTCGTCGAAGACCACGTAGTCTGAAATATTAATCTGAGAGAGAGAGAGAGAGAGAGAGAGAGAGAGAGAGAGAGAGAGAGAGAGAGAGAGAGAGAGAGAGAGAGAGAGAGAGAGAGAGAGAGAGAGAGAGAGAGAGAGAGAGAGAGAGAGAGAGAGAGAGAGAGAGAGAGAGAGAGAGAGAGAGAGAGAGAGAGAGAGAGAGAGAGAGAGAGAGAGAGAGAGAGAGGTGCTGATTGGTCGTTTATCCATAAGATGAAATAAACACAAACCAAACATCGGGTAGAAACCCTAAAAGGTTCTGTCCAAACGGACTCCCACTGTAAACCAAACCCTTCACACATTAAGGTGTACACATGAGTGAAGGCTGGAGCTCTACCTGCCACCAGTGGTCATCACTGCCCTGCGGCTTGGTAGCGCAGATGCCGGTTCGAAACCAGAGGCTGCCGCTGGCATCTAGAGCCCAGGCTGTCCCCCCGTATCCCAAAGCAATGCAGATCAGCTCCAGACCCTGAGCCTCGCTACACACACACACACACACACACACACACACACACACACACACACCCCGATTAACCCTTAAACCAGAGGATCAGAAGGAGACCCAGACTGAGCAGGCTGCTGAATAGCTCCATATCTTTCAAACAGACTGACTTAGTCAGCTGTGGCAGCCATATTTAACCAGGCTGTAGACATATTGCTAATGAGTAAAACAGGCTTTTAGACTCACTGTTTCACTCTCTAAAGCAGGGCTGTTTAATTCTGGTCCAGGAGGGGCACTATCCAGCACTTTTTAGTGGTTTCTCTGCTCCAACGCACTAGATTCAGTGGTTGAATCACCTGTGCAGCAGCTCATCAGGATCTGCAGAAGCCTGTTAATCACCTGCTGATTGAAATCAGGTGTGTTGAAGCAGGGTTAAAACCAAAAGGTGCTGGACACTGGCCCTCCAGGCACAACATTGAACACCCCCGCTCTAATAATTTGGGATTAGACTGAAATCTTGTCGTTTTTTAAATAAGCCACCCTTCTGGTTATGTCGCTCTGGGTTAAGACAGCAGTGAGACGTCCTCCACCCTTTTCTGTTCATGCTTATCTCAAACCATTACCTGACTGTGTCATACTTCCATCCTTCTCCCTCGCTGCAGTAGCTGTTCAGTCCTTCTCTGTAGAACAAAGCCTTGTGTTCACTTAAAGCCCAGAGCACACCACCTCTCACACACACCTGGCTGAACACACAGGGGGAGTCCACCTTCACAGAGCGAGCACAGGGACGCTCCACGCTCAGACCTGAAACACAACAACATCTAACAGCTCCACCACCGCTGAGGCTCAGAGAGATGCATCCCATTAACAGATATTACCTGTTTGCAGGTAGAGGTCTCCGTTGGTCCGAATGATCCAGGCAGAGTCATCGCTCAGAGCAACGAAGGCTGTTTGCTCAACAGCTTTATACCAGTGGCGTTTTCCTTTAACCAAAGCTTTGGCACAAGCAAAAGCTGTCATGCTCTTCTGCTCCACCTTCCACAGCAAATTACCTGATGAAGACACACACAGTTACCACCCAGGTACTGCTGCAAACATACACAACACATAAAGAACGAGACACTCGGTGCCCCGTAACTCTAGAGCGGGGGTCGGCAACCCGCGGCTCTGGAGCCGCATGCGGCTCTTCCATCCATCTGATGCGGCTCTCTGTGCTTGTAAAATAATGAATGGATATTTAAATAAAAAACTTTATATTTTACTGAATTAATTTTACATCTGTAAGCTAATTCTAAATGTAAAGATTGTCTGTGTAAACCTGAACAGTTCCAACCCGGTCTTACTGTGAGACCGTGTTGACGCGTCACGCTTGTGCGTAATCATATCGGCGCTTTCTGAGCTGAAGACGATGTGAGATTCTGGGATTCTCCTCAGACGGCTCCTGGATGTGTCGCCACATTGGAGACAGGAACAAGCACTTTTCAGCCAAAGTTTCAAAATCAGGGAACATTTTCTAAGTGACAAGTCTCGCTTCAGTCGGAGGAATCTTCCTGCATGCGCTCTGGTTCTGCGACGTGCTCCAAGCCCCTCTCCACATCTTCAGCTCGCTGTGGACCTTACGTACGCGCTGACAGCGAGCTGCGCTGAGCAGTGTCCAGCTCAGATGTTCAGATGGGAATCATTTCTTGAGTGATTTAGCTACATCTGCGATGTACGTAGAATAAAATGTCAGTTCGTCTGCATGCGTCGGGGTAATTCTTTCTATTCTTTCTCCGTCAAAATAAACGGTCAAATACGGGAACTATCCGGTCAACACAACACAAGCCCTGATTTTAACTGTTCTGTTTTCTTGTGAAAATTGTTGCAAAGAGATATAATTTAACTTGATTAACACCAGAGCCAGGCGCACTGCGCCTTTATCTCCGTCTCTGTAAATGAGGGAAAAACAAAATGATCGGATCCTTTTCTGACCTTCCCCACCTACAAAGTTTAATTACAACAATCAAACGTGACAGAGCCTGGATTTGTATTCTGAACAGTCTAAACATGTTTTAAAAAGAAACGTATGACAAAAGTGGCACCTGCTCAGTAAAACCACCAACAGGGTGAAAAATATCAAAATAATGTCGGCAGAGACGGGCTACAACTTCTGGATCCACTTTATATAAATCGTTTTATTGATTATCTTATGAAAGATAACTTTGACGTACACGTGCGACCGGTACTGGCTGCTGTCACCTGTTGTGATTGGTTAAAGCAGCTCTCTGCTGTCTGAGGGTAGGCCCCGCCCACAACGCCGCGGCTGCTGTGGCTCCCAGTGTTTTCTTTACTGTGGGAAACGGGTAATAATGGCTCTTTGATGGGAACAGGTTGCCGACCCCTGCTCTAGAGTTAAGATTTATCAGAAGTTGGTGGGCGTGTCCACAGCTCACCTGAAGGAGACAGGGCCACCTGGTGGACATTGTCTTCAAAGCGCTGCCAGCTAAGCCCAGTTTCAGGTAAAGTGCTGCAGTATAGTCTTCCTTTAAAGTCCAGACACCAGACATACCTGAGACCACAGGTTCATGTTAGACTGAGACTTCCTAAAGCCTCCAACCAGACACCTGGAAGACCCAAACCTACCCACCTGTCAGTCACCTGTAAGCTCAGTATTCCACATCCTGGTCCCGAGTATCCCATCCAACTTTCAGCCAACTACGAACAAACAACAGCGTAAGTAACACACCAGATGTGGGGTTAAGAGAACTCTGATGGCAGACCCAGGTGTGCAGGCTCACCTGGTAAGGCCTGTGCATGCCTCTGTGCTGGGTAACCTGGTTTGTCATCTTCTCTGCCTCTTTAGATGGATACGTGCTTCCTCCACTGCCTGCTGAGGGGTTGTGACAGTAGATATCTTCATCATCATCATCACTGGAAACACTAGGATTTCTCTCCCCACTGGACACAGTGGAGCAAATCATTGGGTCTGGCAGACCAGCCGAGGGAGGCCGGAGGTCCTCCTGCACACAGACAGCAGCATGACTCTCGTTTCCTCTGGCTGACGACTGGAACAGGTTTACATTTTTTGAAGTTTCAGGGTGAAACAGACTCTTCTAGTTGTCTTCTGCCTATCCAGGTCCAGGTCTTTTGAGCAGCTCTACCTGGAATGCCTAACTGTCCGCTCTCCAGCCACCTCCGCCAGCTTCTCTAGTGGGATTCCAAGGTGTTCCTTTACAGATATAAACCTAGGGATGTTCAGATCCCATCACATGGTTTCAAACTGGATCGGGATTGGGCATTACTTCCTGATCCGGACTTGGATAGAGGGTTCAAATTACAGGAGAGCTAAGAGGAACCCGGTTCTCCTCAGCTAGCACACCCAGAGGGAGTTTCTACCTAAATGACATTATTTATATGGACTCTAACAGGGGTTCTTCTGAGCAGAGAACGGCAGAGCGCTCCAGGCAGCTGTGTCCTCAGCACGGCAACAGTGACATTCTCAAAGTGGCGCTGCCTAAAAAATAAACCATTAACACACAATCGTTCATATTCTCTCTGGTAATTTCTGTCTTTTATTTGTGCCTGACGCACTCCGCTGCAGCAAAGCTCACCACCCGTGTTCTGGTGACTTCATGTCACTGGCGTGGCGGCACAGCGCCGTACACGCTCCGCTGTTTTAGCAGTCAGTAGACACCTTTGATCTGCTTACAGTGATCCCTCGTTTATCGCGGTTGATGCGTTCCAGACCTGGCCGCGATAGGTGAAAATCTGCGAAGTAGGGACACCATATTTACAGTACAGTACTATATTGAATTATTGTATGATCACATTCTCTTTTTGTGGGTAAAACTCAAGAAAAAAAATTTTTTACTTGGTTTTTTATAGTTTTATTACAAAAAGTGCATTTTATGATTAAATTGATGAAAAAAAACAGGAATTTCTTGATATTTTGCATAGAAAAATACCGCGAGTCGGTGAAAAATACCGCGAATCGGCGAATTTCCCTTGAATAAGGCTCCAAAGAAAAAATCCGCGAAGTCGTGAATCCGCCATAAACGAGCCGCGAAGTAGCGAGGGATCACTGTACTTAAAAAGTAACTCATGAGGTGAAAAAGTAGGAAGCCAGGCAGCACTTTTTTCTGGAGGACTGAGAAGAGATGCAGGAAGAAAAGAGACAGACAGGACAGGAAAACAGTCCAATAATAACCAAGAAAACTAAACAAAATTAGCCTGATAACCCCTCTGATAACCACTGAACATTCAGACACAGTAACAGCAGGACAAGGAATGAGCTGGATTCGAACTGCCAACCCTGTGATTACTGCATGGCCCGCTCCACCCCCTGAGCCTCCACCACCCTAGATGTATATCAACACTATTGGATGTCAAACAGAACCGGAGTGACCCACCTTCTCCTCTCTGGATCCAGTGGAGGTGCTGAGAAGCTCTTCATCCTTCTCGTCCATAAGCTGCTGCTCAAGCCCATTACAGTCTCCAGACTTCGTGTAGGAGAAGATGCATTCCAGCAGCTGGTCTACTGATGTATCTGGACTCATGGTGGAGAGTTCTGGTTCTGGAGCAGCAACAGGGGCCTGGTTTGGGTTCTGTTTATTCTCCAGACCCTGGAGGAGTAGGGAGCTGAAAACAAGTATTGGATATTCCATAAAGCAGGGATGGGTTAAAAAGGGCTAGACAACAAAATCAATCCTCGTCTACTCACCCAGACTGGTCAGAGGAACAGTCCACCTTCTCTCCTGTCTTCAAACCATTTTCTGAGCCTGGTTCCTGTGACGTGTGCGCGCTGAGCTTTTCTAGAGTATTCTGTTTCTGAACATCAAGACCCATCATGGAGGCATGGTCACTTAGAGGAGTCTGATCTTCCTCATCACTACCGTTACCATCCTGGACTCCAAACACTGAGTTCCTGTCAAAAAAGCCGTTCCTGCTGCTGCTGTCTGAGTACACAGGAGACAGAGACAGACATCAGACGACAGGTCGTCCTACCCACCAGTCCTGGTTTGTCTCGGTCTACTGGCCTTGCTGGAGTCTCCTCTTCTTCTTCTTCTTCACTCTGATGGCTTTCACCACCAGATCCTGCTGCATGTCCTCCTGATCAACGGGGGCACTATAGCGTCTGGAGCCCAACTCATAGGATGAGCTGGTTGAAGTGTTGCCATGGAGACTATCCCAGGAAGTGACGGAGCTGCTGCGACAACGAGAGCTGCTGAAAATACTCACGGATTGGCTCAACTCCATCACCTGGACAAACAAAAGGAACGCGGTCATTTGATCCTCTCACCAACTGAATCCCACACACTATAGACTGTCAGATCTCGGCCCGGACTTCCCGGCACCGCTCTTCTTTCCTGATGAACACATGGACCCGATCCTCCTGTTGTGGTTGGGTTCTGCGGCTTATGTGAAGTGTTGCTCCGCTAAGCTGGGGGCAAAGGGGGCAGAAGTCCACCAAAAAGACGCCCAGTGGGCAAAGTCCAGAACCCACGCAATAACGGATAAATATATGGTGCTTTCACATCTGGGTCGGCCCTGGTAGGTTAATTATGTTCACATCTGGGTAATCTGTGGGTTTTTCATGCTCAGTCGACCCAACACACCCACTTGCTGGCTGACGTTCCTGCCTACCTACAAGCGGGAGCCTCTGATTGGCGAGTAGAATCAGCTAGCGGCAGCTTCCCACATGCGTGAGTCTGGATGCAGAAGGGTTCTGACTGTAGCTAGGAACCACTGCTCCAGCTGCAGGAGCAGGAGGACAGACTGAGGAGCACACAGCAGTCTAAGTGAGAGTAGGAAGCTGTGTGCTTCATGTCTGAGTCTCCAAAAGCAACGCTGCTCACAGAAGCCTCTGTTTACTAACTTAAGGAGGACACCACAAGCGTGTTTTGCCCCGCCCACATGCTCAGAGACATCTGGGATCACGAAAAGGCTGTGTGAACCACAGACATCACTCTGTGACCCAACCAAGTCCGGACTAGGCCAGATGTGAAAATGCCAATAGAAAATGATCTTTAATCTAGCATTTTTTAACCAGTTTCTGTTAAAGTAGGGTGACCATACGTCCTCTTTTCCCTGGACATGTCCACTTTTCACTCTCTGTCCGGGGCGCAGCATCGAAATGCACACTCCGCTTTGCGGTCAGGAGATCCCTTTGATCTGCGTAGTTCAAAAGTAACTCAAGAGGTTAAAAAGTAAGAAGCCAGGCAGCTGATTTTCTGGAGATTTTAGAGGAGATGCAGGAAGATGAGAGACAGACAGGACAGGAAAATAGTGAGAGTTATCTCCACTACACGTTTTTACCTGTATGAAGTAATAAGTTACGCACATGTCATATTTATATATTTGATACAATTCAGATCACCTTCAAAACTCAGTCACACACCCAGGGCCGTTTCAAGGCCAAATAGATTGGCATTGTCATAGTGTGACGTCATCGATAGGCACAGATCCCCGTCCTCTTTTTGGACAATGGAAATATGGTCACCCTATGTTAAAGTCCAGACTTTGCCCACCTGATGTAGTAACTACTTTGAAAGTTTCACCAATAGGTTGGTAATAATAAGCAAAAAGGTTTGACTCCTCCTGCTTCTCCAAACCAAGACCGATCTGCTGTCTGCTGCAGGTAAGATGATGATGCTTTAAACTCCCCCTCTCTGACATCAAAATCAACATCCTGAAGTTCTTCCACACGTCAACGGTAAATATTTCTTTTAGCTTTAGTCAGACAGTCGTACCTTCAGCTGGTCATGCTCCTCAGCTTCCTTCACCTCCTCTATTCGTCCCTCACCCTCCTCATCTGCTCCTCCCTCTGAGAACCTCTCACCACCTCTAGCTTCCTCTGTAGCTCCATCTTCCACAATGATGGCCATCGTTCTGATTGGCTGAGCTGTTTCCACTGATCCAGTTGGATGGAGGACAGGGGGTGTGGTCAGAGGGGAGGCTGGATGGACAAATAGGGCGGGAACTAAAAGACAGCATCATTGAGATTGTAAATAAAGACACTGAAGGACCATCAGGAGCATCAATAGTGATGTACTCATGGTGCTCACAGGTGGAGGTGATTCCCTCGTGGCTGTTGGAAAGACGAATAATGTCTCTGTCTCCCTTCAGGATGAAGATCTCATTGCCACATGATGACACAGACACAATGTCTCCAGTGCTTTCCAAGGCACCAACTACAACCTTTAGGCATCAAAACACACATTACGTTTGTAGCTTTAGAGGAGAAGTGTCAATGAGGTGACTTTAGACTGGATCTTTAGCTGGCCTACCTGGTTGATAACATCAAATACATAAAGGCAGTATTCGTTCCAGCTGAGGATCCAACCCTCTCTTAGGAAACAGCTAAGCAGACCCAGCTGCCGATCCGCAGGGCGGTACCCTCCACCCAGACCAGGACGAGGAAGCAACTCAAACTGAGGCACCTGCGTCAGTCAGGAGGACACAGAAGAACAGACCGGCTAGAGTAAATAAACTGATGTTCATGTTTACGTCCGCTGATCATTTTACAGTGGTGCTGAAATTCCTGCAAGAGCCTTAAGTTATGTTTGCAAACACATCTCCAAAAGTCCCAACGTGGAAAACCCGGCTGCTGGTCAGAGCCTCTTAGACAAACAAATGAAGATAATATTAAATGCTGAAATATTTGTAGGTAAAATGGATCAAAGGGTTATTCTTGGAGGTTTTTGAATTTGATGATTTTAAATCATCATCAGTTCAGCTCCTGCATGAAAGCAGTCAACAACATTCCTCAGGCTCTCTTGGTGCTTTACATGAGTCATTGATACATAAACTAGATAAATTGTATCTCTTGCAGAAATGCTGTTTGAATGCTGGATAGCTTAAACTGTTAGCTGAATCAGCTTAATAGCTGAACTGAAGCTGAAACTAATCAAAACTGTCAAAATGAGCAGAATATATTGAAAGATGTAGAAGCAAAAAGCACCAACCAAGTAAAGCACAGAAAGTAAGTGAATAATAGAGAAAATTATCCTAAACAGCAGAAAACTGAAATCTGTGAACAATGTATAAAAATCTGGACAGCTAAAATGTCTAAACACTTGTTATTTCAGTAGGACAAGTTTAACAGTTTAATATTTACATTTAGCTGAACTGTGAAATTAGCAGCATATGCTACATTTGGAAACTGATTGCTGAAGTGAAGCTGAAACTAAGCTAAACTGTCAAAATGAGCTGAATGAATTAGAAGCAAAAATCACCAACAAGTGTAATAAAGCTCAGAATATAGGTGGAGAATGGACAAAAAAGGCTAAACAGCAGAAAACTTAAATCTTTGAACACTGATTAAAAACTCAAAAGTTGAAATGTTTAAACAGCTGGTATTTGAATGAGAATAGTTTAATAGGTACATTTTTACAATTGGCTGAACTGTGAATTTAGAAACATTTACTGATATCTGAAACTGATAGATTATAAAATATTTTTATACCAAAAGTCATTGCCGGCTTAAGCTGAACGAGCTGAACGTTTTGATACCAAACTTGTGTAAATAGTTGAAGAATTGTGGAAGTAGTTAAATGCCAAAAAACGTACGGAAGCAGAATAATAAACCGACTAATAACTAACTACAAAGAGAAACAGGATCACTAAACACACTGCCCTGTGAGTTGTCCACGGCTACAGAAAATCACAAACTGGGTATAAAATAACTTCCTACAGTTAAACTCTGAACAGACCCAATGTCTCATCGTTGCTCCAGAGGTCCTTTAAATGAAACATACCCACATGGCAGCACAAGAACCATGTCTTTGTTTTATAACAACATGCTTTCTTCTTCAATCATTTGGTCTAATTTACTTAACTAGACTTATTTTAAACAGACAGATTTTTATTTAAATCCTGCTTTTTTGAAAAATAAAAAAACTTAAAAGTATCAGAAACTTCACAGCAAACTTTGATAAAGGAGTGTTCTTGTTGCACCTGTTTGTCAAAGAGTGACTTCAGTCGTTGGGTGGTCTCCACCTGTCCTCTGACATCCGACTTCCACAGTTTGAGTCCAGGTCGTGCAGCATACACCTGCAGATCACTCTGTTTGCAAATCGCTGGCAGGAAGCAAGCTCCAAATTTACCGCTCCTGCAACAGAGACACGGTGAGCGCGGAGCACCACAGCCCAAGGATGAATTTGACGCTGTAGGTAGGTGGTGTGCTCCATAATCCAGTATGTTCATGGTACCTTCTGTGAGTCTTGGTACCCAGCTGGAGGACTTCCTGTTTCTGTGTGCAGTAAAGCAGAGATCTCTGCTGCGTTGAGACCAGCAGCACCAGGCGACTGTACTCCATCTGAACCACACCTGAGGACTCCTCCAGCAGCAGCACAGGTGTGCACACCCCCTGCACACACATTCACAGTCAGACAGCGAGTCTTAATCTGTTTAAACAATGTCGTGTCGCATTGGGTTTTGACCTGGTCTAGGTCCAGAGCAGAGAACACCACCCGACCTCTATCATCTCCAGAGAAAAGCTTCATCCCATTGGTGCTCCAGGTCAGAGACGTGATGGAGCCTTTATGGAGACCAACAACATCAAAGCGCCTGAGCTGGACCAAAACAAACAGGTGAGCTGACACTGCAGGAACACAGGTGACTTACTGACAGGTGTCTGGTTACCTGTTTGTTACGACCAGGAAGAGGAGACACCAGCTGGAAGACTGACACCTGACCTGAAGCTGTTCCAACCGCCACCAGATCATCAAAGCAGCTGAGCAGCTTTACAACCGTAATTGCATCACACTTTCCCTGTTACACACACACACACACACACACACACACAAAGGGAATCACTCAGTATACTGGAAATAGTTTGGTGGTGCAATCCAAGTGCTGCTGGGGTCTGACAAATGAATAAAAACAGCTCAAACCTCCACGCTGTACTTGTTCATGTGCGCAAGTCGACGGCAGTACAGGTAAAGCATCCCGATGCTGCTGCCTACAGCCAGGAAGTCAGAGTTGCTGTCCAGGGCAGTAAGGTAGACTAGGACAGACCTGAAGCCCCGCTGCACCTACACACACACACACACACATCATGAAAATACACACTATAATAAACATCACCTACTACTTTCAGTCTGCTGTCAGGCGGGCTGTGAATGTACCTTGGCTGGGATGGCATTCAAAAGGTAGTAGAGCGGACTAAACTCCCTCAGGATGGACGGCGAGGTCGGTTGGGCTGTCATGATGCCTCTGAGACAGATTCAGCAAGTCCTAGATGGACAGGCCTTAGTTAAATATTGTGCTGACCGACAGGCGGGACACTGTTTTATAACATAATCAGAAACATAAAATAACTAGAAAAAATATCTAATCACAGAAATTGTTGCAACAAAATTAAAAAGAAGGGTGATGATGATGATGATGTTTAGCAACAGTAAACTAAATCATTAGACTACCTGGAGACCTGGAGATAGAGCGAACAGACAGAATAAACATCATTTACTTGATTCTAGTAAATGTTCTGTACAACAACCTGCTATTGGAGAGTAGAATTAACCAGAAGCACGTTTTATGGATGAACCTGATGGAACGAGAGCTCCACTGCCTCTGTGGGCTGTCTTGAACGCGTTGGATGGATCCATGATGGATATTTCTGGGACCTCCTGTCCCTCACTGGTTCTGTCCAGTGATTTTTTTTCATCGTCACTGATGCATTGTAGTGTCTGATGTTGCTCTCCCAGCAGACCACCACAGGCTGGTAAAAGATCTCTTGCATCTCACATTAATGAGCCTGAGCTTCCTCAAATGGCAGTCTGCTCACCTCCTTTCTATAGATGCAATTAGTTGCTTGGCTGTTCAGATACACATCCATCATATGATGTGTTACTCAGTTTATGGAATGACTGACACTATTCAGGCTGCTTAGCTGAAGATCGGAGGTTGCAAACTGCATATAAACTCTGATCTTGCAGGTTTTGGATGCTTCTCTGCCTCGGCATACCTGATTTGAATCACTGATTAAGACCCTCTGCAGAACCGAGGACAAGTTGAAGCTGAGAAGGTAATGCAACATTTATGTACCGATTCTTCCCCATTCTTATGTGCTAATTTGAGATTGGTGTGTGTTATTTATGAGTGTAACTGCTTCCTGTGCAGCAAACTGCCCCTTCTGGGGCAAAAATGCACATTATGACTAGACACGAAGCCGTAAGATCCAGTTTACAGGAGTTGTCATGTTTTGTGTCTCTGGATGAGGAGCTGAAAGTGTGCCTATCAGGTGTTTTAACTGTTAAGAACTGACCCCAGCCAAGCGTGCTGTGAACATGAAGATCTGAACAAAGAGCTGTAAGGTCAGAGGCACATGCATCAATAGAAATTAACACCTCACCCTAACTTGTGGTGGATTTTTTTTATCAGGAGAACGTCCCATTGATTTAGGTGTGTGTGGTAATTTCAACATTATTTTTCACCTGCACATACCCCTACAGGCAGGAGGCGGTAACTGCGTCATGTTAAAAACATAAACAGATGTACAACGTTTGAACCAGAAATGAAAAGAAGCATATACAGTTAGCACAACCATTTACATGAATCCTGGTGAGCATAAAAGCCTTCGTGTGTTACAAAGCGAGCAGCACATCCAAGTTCAAGGAGGAAGGTGTCATATATTCAGAAGAAAACCCAGATTGATCCTGGCCTGCTGTTGTTTACAGTCATGCTAACCTAAACTAGCTAGCATCTGTGGCAGATAACCTACTGTAAACAACAGAATATCGTTAGCAACAGGAGCACGAGCCTGCTACCTGCTGGCCGCTCCTGCTGATGAGGGATACCCGCAGGCGTTGATCCAGTTGATTCTGCAGAAACTGGATTTGAAGCTCGGACAGCTGACAGACATCGCTCAGCGGATCCAGAGCACAGGCTCTCCAAACCGGACTGTCAAACCGCGCCTCCTGCTGGACACATCCGGTAAGAACCGCTTCGTTTGATGGGTCTGTTTTTATTTTGTAATCCTTCATTAAAATATTTTTTATGTATTTGTTTTTTATTTACATGTTTATTTTTAGAATAAAATACAAGAAACGAATCTGTTCTGGATACATTTACTCAAACATTCACAAACAAATTACCAGAAAGGGTACCTATAAAAAACAAGCAAGTCTAATCAACCTAGTCTAATCGTGCTGCAGACACTTGTAGCTAATAATTTTGCATGTTAGTGCATCTTAGTAAAGATTTAAAGCGCAAGTCACCCCCAAATCAACTTTTTTTGCTCATTAACTACATAAATGAGTGTCTGATTGTGCTGTAGACACGTGTAGTCAATAATTTGGCACTTCAATGCATCTTAGTTAAAATTTAAATATTCTGCCTAAAACTGTCAGTGTTGCGCCATCGTCAGGTAAAAACTCTGCACTGCATTTGAATTTAAATCTGCCACCGCTATTGGCTAAGAGGTACACTATGATGTTAGCTGATACATTATGATGTCACAATGTCATTGTGAGCCTGTGTGTGTGTATTTGTTAGTGGCTCTACCCTCTCTGTCTGCCAGGCAACAGCATTTGTTGAATTTTGCAAACGTGAAGTGGGAGTGGAATAATACTCTGATAGGGGTGACTTGTTCTGCCTAAAACTGTCAGTGCTGCACCCTCTTCCTCATCCACAGTAAGTGGGAGTGGAATAAGACTCTTGATAGAAGAACAAGTCACTCTTAACAAAGTAAATCTTTAAAGCCTGATTCATTCTTACCTACGGCTAATTAAACAGTTTAAAACCACCCAGAACAGATTCAGCTGTGAAAATCCTTCAACTTTGAATATAAATAAATAAATAATCAAATATCATGTTGCAGCAGGTCTGAATAAAGACTAAAAAGTAAAATTCCTCAGATGGAAAAATACTACAAAAAATGGTAAAAACGCACAAACTACAAAAGAAAAAATCATGTAGATAGCTTAAAACATCTGCTGCTGTTTAAAATCAACCCTCTTTATCAGTCTGAATGTCTTTATTGTGACTGCCCTATTTTGAAACTCAACACGGTGGAGCAGCAGCTCTGGGAAAGATCATGATCCTCTCTGGTTCAAACTCACCTTCTGGTCCTCCTATTGCGGAACATGTTGTGTTTTTATTGAGATCATCCACACATTGTGTCACAGCTGCCAAGACACAACCTTTTCTGTCATGGACACATTTATTTCCAAGAGCTGCTGAAACAGAAATGTCTTTGTCATCTGTGAGAAAATACCAGCTCTTCTCAGATACAAAAGCTGAGGATGAAAATAATTGTAGCATCATGAACGGCCTCATATTTGTGACCCAAAGGTCACACTTTCCCAGCTGGATCAAGCTGGGTCGAGCTGTAACTTTGTCCCACAGATTACCCGTCAGGAGCCGTGAAGTCTGCAAAACACCATCTTTAGCCCCATTCCCACCTGTACCGGGTCGGCCCGGGCCGGGTAGCGTAGGTTGTTTACATATCTGGGTGGCCTGGTATTTTTCCGGGCCAACCAAGGCTCATCATCAGCCCTCTTCTCGAGGGGGTCTGCTTCAGGCCGACCAGGGCCAACACACCCACTGCTGACAGCAAATTCACACCTTCCATTAGAGCAAGCCTCTGATTGGTGGGTAGAATCAGCCCACATGGGCTTAAGACAAGGATGTGTGGAATCAACCGGGCCAGGCTGGGGCCGACTGGGGCTATCCAGCCCGGGCCGACCCGGTACAGATGGGAATGGCCCAATAATCTGCTGCTGTTCCGTCCCAAGATGAAGGACACTTCAAGATTTTAAAAAAATTTTTAAATAATAATTTTAATAAACTCTTTGACTGTTTATTACTGTTTATTACAATAATCATAAATAATCATCTTGGTTCAGTAAATGTATTTAAATACTGAAATGATTTATTATGCTTTGGGTAATAATAATTATTTATGATAATCAGTAATGTGTGTTCAGTAAACCAGAAGGTCATTTGCACATTAACCACCTCATGCAGAGGGTGTATCCAGGGTAAAGGTTAAATGATAAATGATAAATGACCCGCACTTGTATAGTGCCTCTCAGAGTAAGGACTCCAAAGCGCTTTACACTACAGTGTATCATTCATCCATTCACACACACATTCACACACTGATGGTGATGAGCTACAATGTAGCCACAGCTGCCCTGGGGCGCACTGACAGAGGCGAGGCTGCCGAGCACAGGCGCCACCGGTCCCTCCGACCACCACCAGCAGGAAAGGTGGGTTGAGTGTCTTGCCCGAGGACACAACAGCAGAATTTGCTGTCCGGAGCCAGGATCAAACCTGCAACCTTCCAATTACTGGACAACCCGCTCAACCTTTTGAGCTACTGCTCCCCCACTAACCACCTCACATGTCTTTACTTCATAACATCAAGCTGTCACGTTGAGAGCTGGGAGGAGGTTAGGACCCAAGATGCAGAAAACACCAGATGACACGATGCAGGAGCAGTTTAAAAGTAAAATCCTTTTTATTCGGATGAGGAACCAAAAAATCCAAAAGTGCAAAAAGCCAAAAACCAAAGTCCTGAACACCAGGAGAACGAAAGCTCACATAGAGCACAAAACCAAGAGACTACACAAAACATCGCTGACAAAAAAAACAATGGACCCTCAAGACAGAGATGCAGAACAGGGTTAAATACACTGGGGCATGATGGGAGGCAGATGGGCTGCAGGTGTGTGGGGAGAGAAACCAGATGAAAGCAATTAACTAATCAGGGAGGAAACTAACATGACTTAAGAGTAAAACCTAAAGACAAGAAGAGCAGCAAACATAACTAATATTCTAAGGGGAAGGAAAACTACAAACACCGGTGGGAAAACACACTAAAGAGACTAATAGAATGAAAAGCTGAAACTATAAAAACTGCGGAGGGGTGACTGGGGAATACTGAAGGAACACAGGACCTGGGAGAGACGATCTGGAGGGCTGCAGATCTGGGAACACAGTAAGAGAAACTACAGGGGCGTGACTAAGGAGGACCATGGGGAGCACAGGACCTGGAGGGAGATACCTGGGGGGGGGAAGGAAACCTAGAGGGGCTACAGCTCTGGGAACACATGAGGAAGACGTAGACAATGACACAAGAGGGCGCTAGGATACACAACAGGAGAGCCTAGAGACGAATGGAGAACACAAGGAGACACATGAGGGGAGACGCAGACGCAGACCATGACACAAGCTTTCTGATGCTGAGAGGGCGTGTTCTGAGGTTTTGTTAAAACCAAATCTCCGCAGCTCAAAGTCAGTTCTTGAACCATACCAGAGGACGAGGGTCGGCCACCCCAGGCTCACTAAGCATTCTGTCACGCCGATAGAATTGCTCTGAATAAACGCACCTGTAACCAGCTGACGCAAAAACTCCTTCAGAGTTAAGCCAGACGCAAGCTCAACACTGTGTACCCTGCGACAACTCTGGACCAGAGAGTCGGTTTCACTCGGGTCTTCTCTACCTGACCGAGTACCCTGAGGCTGACAACATCCTCCTTTGACCTCCGGATCCACACAGAGGATCGTCTAACTGGGTGAGGTGGCACACAGATTGTGTCCGATGCTGTTTTCTCTGAGAAACATCAGTTAGCTGCAAAACAACGTTTTCCACAAAAAAAGCTTTCTCTCGCTGAAAGAAACCTTCTGAGATTCATTCACGCATCCAAACCTCGCATTCCACTTTAGCTTTTCATTCAGACACAGGTTTGTTTAATAACAAGTTTTAATATCAAGCTGTTACAAATTGTCAGTTACAAATTGGCATTTTTAAAAGTGTTAGTAATAAATTCTTTACTTTTGAAAACCTGATCTCTTCTTTGAAATGAAACACAGAATGGTGTATATTTTGGTTATTGAATAAGCAAAGATTCCTTTAACTTCTGATTCAATAAATAAACTTTTGCTATTAAATTTAATTATCTGAAAATTAAAAATTAATCTTTGGATTAAATATAGACCAAGCTCATTGGCGTATGAACTTCTATCGAATATATTAAGATATTCATATATGATAGAAACTTCATTTGTTAACTTGTTTGATCTCTTCAGAATCTAACAAAGCTGACAGCAAAACAGCGTTAATTCTAGTATGTAGTTTGACCACGCTGCATAATGAATACCTAAGGTCAGTTTTATATGGCTGAAAATAATGTAAGAGCTCAAATGAGGAAGTCAAAACTAATCAACATTTGATATGTTTTTTTTTTAATGAGCACTCGGTCTCTTTGAACAATGAATGGCTTTCATATCTGAACATCTCCTTAAAGTATCTTTCCGGAGTTTTCCCCTTTCAGAAATGATGTATGATTTTCCAGAAATCCGTAAAAGCGATTGTCTCATCATGTACTGTGACAAAATGTAAGCAATATGTCTTTTTTTTTTGTTGTTGTTTGTTTTGGCTAAGCACGCCCCCTGCCCCGCAGAGCTACATTCAATAGGAAACTGAGCGCCGACCAGAACTAACCTATAGCGTTAGACTACCCCTTCAAATTTAAGGAATACCTCAGCTGATGCAGAGTTGATGAACTACAAGTAAGTCTCTAAAGTTTAAATTTATGAAAACACAACATGACATGAGAATAATACTCGTAAAACGAGTTTTAGCTGCATTTGTCGGCTACATAAGCACATTTATAAACAGAAACGTGTAGTCAATAGTTTTGCACTTTAGTGGATTTTAGTTACATTTTAATTTTCTGTCTAAAACTGTCAGTGTTCTGCCGTTGTCAGGTAAAAACTGCACTGCATTTGAATTTAAATCTGCCATCGCTATTGGCTAAGAGGTACCCTAGAACATTATCTGGCATCATCCCAAGTGCCGGTGCCCACTTCCAATTTTAAACTGCACTTAGACACTGAGGGCTGTGGGTGCAAGTGGGGTGGTGTGTTGGCATCAGCTGGCATAGGCCAGATGATGCCCGCACTGCCCGCTCACCACAGCCATGGAATACACCTCATTAACACTCACTAACACCATATTGGAGCAGGCAGAGGGAGACTAGGGGTCTTAGCACACCTCTGTTGTCGCTTGGCTTCCTGGGGCTGGAGGCTAGGAGGGAGATCCAGCCGTCTGGTTGGGCAGGGGAGCCTGCTCATCAGCACCCCAGCAGAAAGGGTCGAACTCTGGGAACCGGTAATGGTTGTACCCCATGTGCAGCAGTACCGGGACCAGAGTGAATAGGGTGTGTATGGGGAGCATGAGTGGGTGTCCGGCGCGCATTTTTGTAAGTCTTTGGTTGTATGTGTATGTGTGAGCATGAGGGAGGGAGTGTGTGACTGTGTTTGTGTATGACTGTATATGTCAGGTGGGGCCTTTGACTCCTCCCTTCTCCTGGGACTTCTTTTGATGATATAGATCTTCGTCTCCCCTCTCCCTGCCACACCTGGTGTGGAGTGCGGTACCTTGGTCTGCCTGGGTCGTGGCTCCCGGGTCAGGGAGTTTAAGATTTTTGGCATCTGCCTGACCAATCCCGGTGGCTGTCTGGGTCCCAGGGCTCTGCTGGGTCCCCAGCGGGAGTGGTCGCCCCTGGGTCCCGGGTCATTGGGTCCCGGGCTCGGCCGGCTAGGGGGTGGGGGGCTGCGGGCGGGCCTGGGGGCTTGCCGCCGATGTCTCCCGGGACTCTGCCGGCTGCTGGTTGTGGCCCCCTGGGGCGATCCTCTGCGCCTCTCGAGGGGGGCGGGGGCCTTTCTGGTCGCAGTCTCCCTGGGGTTCCTGTGCTCTGGGGCAGCTCCTGGATCTCTGGGACTTGGAGCTCCCTCCGTCTCCTGCACATCTTTAGGGGGCAGATCTGTGGCCCCTCACACTCTCTCTTGGACGCTCCTATAGAGAAATCTTACATAAACAAGCGCGTGTACACACACAGGTGCTCACATGGTGCTCTCAAAAGTATGGACTTGAGCACGTTCAACACATGTCTTAAGGCTATGGTGGGCACTTAATGCACTGTGATTCATTATCGTGTGATTGTTCAGTTAAACAATGTTGATTATATGTTTCTTCATCAAGTTGATGCAGTGATAGCTTGATCTTGTGGTATTGTTGTTGTGTCCCATTTTTTTGTTTTGTTTTTCTTCTCTCTTTCTGCAGGTCTAGAAGCAGACTCTTGTCCATTATTGTCCCCCCCCCCCCCCCCCACACACACACACACACACACTTTTTGTCTCTTCCTTTCTCTTTCACATCGGACTCCGTGTCTGGTCGGAATTAAAAAGCATTCAAAAATAACAATAAAGTTTTAAGCATCAGGCGTGACATTAGAAGCAGACACTTTGATGCTCCACCTGAGAGTAAATCTGTAAGGCTTGTCACCAGCATTCAGACATCAATTATGTTTGCTTCACAGCCAGACAGGACACACACACACACAAAAAAGATCATTAGCTGGTACCATGTGATGTCACAATGTCGTTGTGAGCGTGTGTGTGTGATGTCATTGTGAGCATTTGTGTGTGTGTGTGTGTGTGTGTGTGTGTGTGTAATTGCTAGCGGCTCCACCCTCTCGGTCTGCTAGGCAACAGCATTTGTTGCATTTTTGAAACAGGAAGTGAAAATTGAGTAAGAATCTGGAAGGGGGTGACTTGCTCTTTAAGTGGTGGAGTTTTAGGGAAAGTGCCAAAATGTCTTGATTCATTTATGACGTTTTTAATTAAGTAGTCTACTTATGCTGCATTGTAAACATCATTTTGGCTTTATGTCACCATTATAGTCCTTGTCTCTGTGGCCATACATAATGCTGTTATGATGACATTTGTGATGGGGTGGCTTCCTCCTCTTCTGTCAACATTAGTGAACTTTACAAACACAGCACCAGTGTTCCCGACTCTTATTGTGAAAGGTTGGAGGAAGTTGAAGCTGCTGCTGTTTGCAGAACCGTGGTTGAGGTATTTTGTACTTTAGTCTGTTTAAGCAGTATATATGTCGAAGGTTTAAGCGCATCCATAGCGGAACCTGCTGCCCCAGGCTTTACTTTAGTTTATAAAAACTACTTGAGCATTATTCTCTATGTAAATATATAAACGGAAGACACTGAGAAAACGTCAATTTACATTATAGTTGCCTTTCTGGACTTCCGGAGTAGTTACTCCTTCGTTATAAATTTTCGTACTTGTTTTTAAAACAACGTAGTAAGTCGCTATCGTTTATTTTACCGGTTTTTATTTAATTAATGTGAAATACCAGCACATTTCTGTCACATTTAAAACACGCTTATAAAAGAACCGCCGTCAAACGTTTTGATCCAGCTCGACGGTAAATCCGGTCCAGAAAATGTGAGCTCCCACGACCCACTCCCGCTCAGGGCTAAGCTAGGCTAGTTCAAAACTCCTCCCGCTAACATTTATCTGCTAGTGGTTTCCGCCAGTTCCGTTCATGTTGTCGTTAATTCCCGTTGAGTGTTTCGTCTACCAACAAGCGTCGATTTTGTTTGCAACTGTATATTTGCCGATAGCGACTGGCGACCAGGCGAACTACATCAAGCCCCCAGTCTGAGCTAACTGTTAACCTCGCAGCCAAAATGGCGGAAAACGGGGGTACCAACAGTGGAGCTACCAGGACAATAACCGACGTAGAACCACTGGAGGAACAAGTTCAGTGCCCCGTTTCCCTGAGTCAGTACGGGGACGCGGGAACGGGGGTTCTAGTGGCCCAGAGCGAACAGGCCGGGGATAGTTCCGAACCTGCGTCCTGTGCAGAGAACGCATCGCAAGGGTCTGGAGCACCGCTGGCGGGTGCCTTAGAAAGCTGCCCGATTGGACAGACCGTGGTGGTGGGCACAGAGCTCACCGACCTCGCCAACACTACCATCATCTACGTTCAGCCGGACGGAACCCTGGAGGGATCCGGACTGACGGCCGAGGAGCAGCAAGCGGTTCTGAGTCAGCTCTCCAAACAGCACCAAATCCTGCAGGTGTCTGAGACCGAAGCTGCTCAACTGCTCCAGCAAAGCCAGCTGGTCGAAACCGTTCCGGTACCAAAAAATGCTTTGGACCCTTGTCAGTTCCAGCAGGTCATTAACCAGGTCACCAAGTCCCAGATTCAGATCCAGATCCCTCAGCAGGTCCAGGCTCAGCAGTGTCTAAACCAACAGAAGCGGGTCGAAGGTCCACAGCAGAACCTAAAGTCCCCAACCCACAACAATGCCTCCCAGCAGCTGAAGAGTGTGGCCCAGCATATCGCCACGCAGTCCAAGAGCTCTGACCAGGTGAGTCCAGCATCAGGGCTCCACAAGACCAGTCTGGACATCAGCTGGTCCAGACTGGTCTGGCCTGATCTGCCTCTAATCTGTGGTTAGCTTCAGTCTGCCCACATGTCCCATCATGACTAAATAAAACCTTCAGGGAGGGCAGGAACCCTCTGGTGGTCAGACAGACACAGGCTGTGTAGCTCTTGAAGTGGATTTCTGTGGAAATAACCCGAACAATTAAATCTCAGTTTGGAAAAATGGCCTAGTTCTGATTAGACAGAGTAGCAAACAGCTACCCTAAGTGGGGCCGGTTGCAAAGTGTCATTTGTAAAATAGCTCTGATATCAAATCATTCAGTTAATGAAAACATGTTAAACTTTTACATGAACATAATTCACAGAATTCTGTTGTTGTTATGAAGCTGAAGCGTTTCTTTGGGGAGGTTTGAGTTGTCACAGTATTTCCTCAGAGACGTTTAGTTTCATGCAGGTACTGACTGGAATGATCCACAATAGTTGCTGACTGACACAAGCGCTCCTTAATATTTTTGAATGTTTTCTCATAAGAAAGCTTGGATTTCCTATCGTGGTTTGAGGATGTGAGGTGATTTTATGTTAACGGTCAAGGCAGTCTTGGATCCCATTGTCTTAAAGTATTTATGTGTTCTGGATTAATTTCAGTCTGGTTTTTGTTTCTCTGCTCTTACAGCCGGAATCAGTCAAGATCCAGATTGGAATTCCTCCTAAGCAAGAGGGAGGAGTCACTCTCCAACAGAAAAGCGTAGGTGTTGGCCACCCACAGGTGAAGCTGTCCACTGGAGGAGGTTTGAGCAACACTCAGATCATCCACATCCAGCCTGTGGTTAGTCAAGGGCAGCAGATCCTCCTGCAGCAAAATCCAGGAGACCCACCCATCCAGCTACTACTGCAAAGCCCCACCCCAGTCGTTGGGTCTCTACACCCATTGGTCCACAAGCTGACTGGCCAGACAACCTTAACAGGTGCCACTTCCAGTCCAAGTCAGAAACCTGTCCCATCTCCCATTAATGTTTCTACAGCACCAACTGTTAAAGACCCATTGTCCTCTGTCATCAAGGCTCCACTTTCTACCCCATCGAGAACCATCACCATTCCTCTGATTAAGCCCCTCCATAATGGCACTGAAACGTCTGCCACTAAAGGTTTGACTAAACCATCAGCTGTCATCACTGCAGTTCCCATTCACACCACTACACTTGCTGTTGCACCCCAAACTGTCAAAGTGGCCACATCTTCTGTTGTCAAGGATGGAAACAAGGAAAAAGACAAGGAGAGGAAGGTAAAGAAGAGGGAGAAGAAGGGGGTGAAGATTCTAACAAGATCAGGTCGGGTTTCTAGACCACCAAAGTACAACGCCAAGGACTACAAGTTCATTAAGACCGAGGACCTGGCTGAAAGCCACCAGTCGGACTCTGATGACTATTCAGACATCAGTGAGGAAGAGGAAAGTGAGACTTCACGGAAAGATGGTGCTGACACCAAATCTTTTATTTACAGCCACAAGTCCCGGTCCCACCCCTGCCAGACATGTGATAAAACCTACATTGGTGCTGCAGGCCTCAATCGGCATTACAAGCTAAACCCAACGCATGGAGAACCCGATCCATCCATCAGCACGCCACACCTGCCCAGAGATGACGACCAGTTAGAGGAGATGAATGTTGTCAGGGAGGAGGAGTTTGATGACGAGGAGGATGATGATGACAAACTTCCTGTTTCTTCAGCAAACAAGGTGAGATCATCCATCAATCATGCTCATATCAGGATTGCAGCTGTTAGGTCAGCAGGTCATTATTATGTTTTGTTAACCTTAATCTAAAACCTCGGCAACAAAAAGATGAGATCAGAATCACTTGTCAAACAAACGGATCACATTCATTCAGTATGTAATCGCTCGACTCTTCGTTTGTCTTCAGTCAGAGGGTGTCCCAGCTGCATCAGGACTCCGAGGTCTCCATCGCAGACTCCCTGGCCGACCCAGAGGCAGAGGGAGGGGCAGAGGAAGGGGAAGGGGGAGAGGGAGGGGCCTGGGTCAAGGACAATCAATGGGACTTCCTCCTAAGGTTAGTTTGAACTTGGCACATTAAAGCACCAGACTGCAACAGTTAGGACAGGATTATTTAGGGGCCACTACCTGAATGTTTTCTGTTTCTCTTCACCAACACGACTGGTTTGAATCAATGAGTGATTAAATGGCTTCTGAAGAGCTTGACGACCTGCTGAGAGAGGTGATTAAACCATTAAACCAGGTGTGTTCGAGCAGGGGAACAGCTAACACAGGTTGGATAGTGGGCCCTGGAGGACCAGGGTTGAGTAGTTCTGGTCTAGGTGGTCAGAAGTCTCAGTGGTGCAAAGATTCACATTAAAAAATAAAACGTTCAGAGACTCAATTTATTGATTTTTCAAAGTTCATGGAAACATCTGACAGAAGTCTCGAAATGAGCCAGTTCATATAAGGACCATGTTCTACACAGTTAAAAATATTTAATTTTGGTAGATGACATCAGTTTGGATGTTTATTATTTCAATATGCAGCGTTTGAGTTCAGGTTTCTGTTAGCTTTGTAATAATATCAATGATTATGTGGATTTTAATGCAACATTTTTGTGTAACACAGT